TATACCATGGCGATAAAAATGCACCAGTAAAAAAAATTTATAAATAAATTTGAATATTCTTTGTAAATTTGTTTGAATTTAATTATTTTGATGTATTTTGTAAAGTTAAGAAACCCAAGTGATACCCAAACAAAATGAAATAACTAACGACTTTATAATTATATTAATCCATACAAAAACTATTAGTAATATGCATGTATTTTTACGTCCGCATAAATTGACATAATTTCTACATGTTTTTATCTTAAAATTTAATTTACTTTCATACCAATGTTTTACTAATTTATTTCTTGTTCATACATACACGTCTTTTTACGGCTGTCATTTTTAAATAAAGTTTTCTTTTTAACCACAGGAAAAAAAAAAGAAACTATTTCGAACGGTACTAAAATTTTTATTCTGCAACACTTTTTACATTTTGACAAGTTATAAAAATTACATCTGTACAATTAAGAAATAACGGTGAAATATAAAGTTTTTTTTGTTTTTGTTTTTTTTTCAATAACTTTCTGTTGTAAAAAATCTATCTACAATTCGTGGTTTGACCTCAGTGTATAATCTCTCTGAATCAGGAACATCTAAGAAAGTCGTCCCTTCAACGACATCCAGTCACAGTGTCAGCCCTGTTTCATCCCCGGGCCGTGCAATTCGATGAAACTTTCAAGGTTACGTGGTACGTTACCGGCATACGAAAGATTGTACGCTTTCACGACTTTGGCCGCTATGCACTTTAAAGACAACTTCCTTTGTGTTCGAAGAATTATTTCGGCTACGCCTGAAAAAAAAAAACAAAAAAAAAACGAAATTTATTTTTTCTTTATCTGTAAGGCCACTCGAGACAGCTTGTCAAAGACAACGAGTAAATTACCAGTGGTAGCCGCATCGTAAGGTGTCTTTCCTTGGCTGTTGACGGTGTCCATGTGAGCGCCTGCTTGAACGAGGTCCAAAATAATCGAGTGCAGCGTCATGAAGTCGCTAATTGGCTTTTCATACAGAACGATGATGTGAAGCGGCGTGTTTCGCTCGTTGTCCATTGCGTTGACGTCGGCCCCGCATTTGATGAGTAATTTCGCCGTCGCTGCACATGGAAATCTACCAAAGATACACACGTGTATTATTTTTCCAAGGGTTTAATCAAAAAAGAAAAAAGAAAAAAAAAAAAAAAAAAAAAAAGAATCAGAAACTACTGTTTTTTCGATCATCTTCCAGCTTCCAGGTCCAAAGAAAAGCGCGGCTACACGAATGATGCNAATGTTTGTAATTTTAAATAAAAAAAAAAAAAAAAAAAAAGAATCAGAAACTACTGTTTTTTCGATCATCTTCCAGCTTCCAGGTCCAAAGAAAAGCGCGGCTACACGAATGATGCGGTGATACAGGCATTTTACAAAAATCAACGGCAGACCGCGACAACCTCCTCAGATGCGAACAACAAAGGCAAATTGAACGAAAAACTAAACTCATAGATATATATGTATATTTTTTTTTAATCATCGGATTTTATAAACTCAAGTTCAAATGATTTTACAGCTCCTTACCCCAAAAAAAAGCACACCTACATCAACAGCTCCGTGATCAAGGCGTTCAACAGCAACAAGCAAAACACTGCGGCTCCCTGCAACGGGAATGGCACAAGTAAGTCGAACAATCAACTTAAATTTTGTATTTACGAATCGGACAAAGTTTTAACTTGAAACGGCACAGCTTCGACCTCAAAAAAGAAGTCCGGGTACGTCAACGATTACGTTATAAAGATGTTTACCAAGAATCGACGAGACACCGGCGACACCGGCGGTAAACGTAAGTTTTGAATCGGACGTTTGATTTTTGATTTTAAAATCACGTAGAATATCGTGGACTCTGATTGAAAAGAATTTACAGCCGGAGAATGTGCGAAAAAACCCGCGTACGTTAACGACCTCGTTATCAAGGCGTACAACAATAATCGGCGAGACACCGAATCGCCCTTCGACGCCATTGATCCAAGTAAGTCGAACATTGAAATGGATTATTTTTTTCATTTTTTCATTTTTACAAAACAGAGAGTACGGACGGACTCTGGTTACAGCCTCCAATTCGGCAAAAAAGCCCGGCTACGTCAACGACGCCGTCATCAAGGAGTTCAACAATCGAAAAGACACCGAGTCGTCCTGCGACGCTAGCGACACAAGTAAGTAAAAAAAAAAAACGCGAATTTTCATCCTTACGAGTGATCGTAGACCCAAGATCGGATGCTTTTGCAGCGTCTAGCTCGAGATCACTGTACGATTACGACGACCAGTCCGTGAACAGTGCGATGAGCCACAATCGCCGAGAGACGGAAACTGAGCTCGATGCTAACAATACGCGTAAGTCGAGTGGAAAACTAAAAAAAATTTCATCTGATATCACGTCACATTTTAATGTGAAATATTTACATTATGTGTCGTAGATACATACAGCAAATGCTTCTCGGAAATAAGTAAGAAGAGTCCACAGTCTCAGAGGCGGCAATTGAGACAAGAGATTTGGTACCATGGGAGACTTGGTCGCAGTGAAGCGGAGAAACTGTTGGCTAGAGTAATTTCGATTTGTTTTTATTTGTTTGTGCAAGCGGCTTGGGATTAAAAGGAAGTTTTTGAAATTATTTGGTCAAAAATTCCACTTCAGAAAATCTATTCCTTTTTCTTCTTTTTTTTTTTGTTTCAAAACAATTTTTTATGATAACGAAACTAACGACGTTTTAATTAATTTTTTTTTACTGTAAGCGTAAGATAATAACAGTTGTTTAACGAGGCTTTAATTTGAGTTAATTATTCTTTGAGGAGAACGGCTGCTTTAAAATTTTTTCTTTTTTTTTCAATAATCCCCAACAAAACAGCGCGGATGATTCTTACTCCACGGGTGGCACTTTTTCTTTAAAAATTTCATGAACAGCCCTTTTTATTGAATGACTTGGACGTACCACTTTTTTTTCAGTTGAGCAAAAACAACTCGAAATAATTCTTGATAATAACAGATTCTGGTGTTGAATGTAAAATTTTTTTTTCAAAGGATGGAGACTTTCTTGTGCGCGATTCTCATGGTTTGCCAGGAAATTACGTTCTTACGGGTATGAAACATAGAAATCCAAGACATTTAATGCTCATAGACTCCACCACAAGAAGTGTAAGTATATACTTACATCTGATCTTAAACTTAGTTTGGCTTACGACGAATCGTGAAAACAATTTTTTTTTTTTAATTATTTCAGATAAGAACTAAGGATCGAATATTTGAGAGTGTGAGTCACCTGATTTGTTATCACACCGAGAAATCAATACCGATAGTTTTGGATAATGGTGCACTGTTACTCAGTAATCCCGTGCCGAGACGGATAGTACTTTAAAATTTAACGACTTTTAAATGTTACTTTTAAAACCAATTATTTTACATCACGTTCGTGCATTTTATAATTGAAATAAGGTGAGCTCGACCGTGCTGTTCACCAGCTTTTCCTCTATTAAACGTAATTTTTTTTAATTTTTTTTAAATTTCTGATAACAAATGTAAGATTATATATATATATATATATATATATATATATATATATATATATATATATATATATATATATATATATATATATATATATATATATATATATATATATATATATATATATATATATATATATATATATATATATATATATATATATATATATATATATATATATATATATATATATATATATATATATATATATATATATATATATATATATATATATATATATATATATATATATATATATATATATATATATATATATATATATATATATATATATATATATATATATATATATATATATATATATATATATATATATATATATATATATATATATATATATATATATATATATATATATATATATATATATATATATATATATATATATATATATATATATATATATATATATATATATATATATATATATATATATATATATATATATATATATATATATATATATATATATATATATATATATATATATATATATATATATATATATATATATATATATATATATATATATATATATATATATATATATATATATATATATATATATATATATATATATATATATATATATATATATATATATATATATATATATATATATATATATATATATATATATATATATATATATATATATATATATATATATATATATATATATATATATATATATATATATATATATATATATATATATATATATATATATATATATATATATATATATATATATATATATATATATATATATATATATATATATATATATATATATATATATATATATATATATATATATATATATATATATATATATATATATATATATATATATATATATATATATATATATATATATATATATATATATATATATATATATATATATATATATATATATATATATATATATATATATATATATATATATATATATATATATATATATATATATATATATATATATATATATATATATATATATATATATATATATATATATATATATATATATATATATATATATATATATATATATATATATATATATATATATATATATATATATATATATATATATATATATATATATATATATATATATATATATATATATATATATATATATATATATATATATATATATATATATATATATATATATATATATATATATATATATATATATATATATATATATATATATATATATATATATATATATATATATATATATATATATATATATATATATATATATATATATATATATATATATATATATATATATATATATATATATATATATATATATATATATATATATATATATATATATATATATATATATATATATATATATATATATATATATATATATATATATATATATATATATATATATATATATATATATATATATATATATATATATATATATATATATATATATATATATATATATATATATATATATATATATATATATATATATATATATATATATATATATATATATATATATATATATATATATATATATATATATATATATATATATATATATATATATATATATATATATATATATATATATATATATATATATATATATATATATATATATATATATATATATATATATATATATATATATATATATATATATATATATATATATATATATATATATATATATATATATATATATATATATATATATATATATATATATATATATATATATATATATATATATATATATATATATATATATATATATATATATATATATATATATATATATATATATATATATATATATATATATATATATATATATATATATATATATATATATATATATATATATATATATATATATATATATATATATATATATATATATATATATATATATATATATATATATATATATATATATATATATATATATATATATATATATATATATATATATATATATATATATATATATATATATATATATATATATATATATATATATATATATATATATATATATATATATATATATATATATATATATATATATATATATATATATATATATATATATATATATATATATATATATATATATATATATATATATATATATATATATATATATATATATATATATATATATATATATATATATATATATATATATATATATATATATATATATATATATATATATATATATATATATATATATATATATATATATATATATATATATATATATATATATATATATATATATATATATATATATATATATATATATATATATATATATATATATATATATATATATATATATATATATATATATATATATATATATATATATATATATATATATATATATATATATATATATATATATATATATATATATATATATATATATATATATATATATATATATATATATATATATATATATATATATATATATATATATATATATATATATATATATATATATATATATATATATATATATATATATATATATATATATATATATATATATATATATATATATATATATATATATNTGGCATTGGAAAAAAAAAAAAAAAAAAAAAAAAAAAAAATTTTATAATGTAAAAGTAACTTTTCGAAGCAACATCAACCCAAATAATACCTCAAGGTCATGGCTTTGTGCAAATAGGTGTACGATTTGTGGAGACAGTACTGGTCTTTGTCGTTGGCAAACGAAGCGCCAAGAAGCTCGTAAGCCTCGATCATGTCCTCCTTGTTCACGTTCTCGTGCTCAATGAGGCACTCGACAACCTCGGCTCTCGCTCTCTCCGCCGCCAATATCAACGGTGTCATGTTGTTCATGTTCTTCGTCAGTTTCGCCCCGTGTCTCAGCAAATCCCTGACTATGGCAGTGTGACCGCACTCGGCGGCAAAGTGCAAAGGCGTTTCGCCGCTCTGGGCTTTTCCATTTGGATTTGCTCCATTTTCCAACAAAAAGCTCACCTGCGACCCAACAATGGTGCGCGTTTCGTTCATCGTCACGGTTATAACATTTTTGTATTTAATTTTTTTTTCGGGGTCACTTACGACATCGAGGTGGCCTTTGTAGGCAGCGATCATCAAACAAGTGTTGTCCTGCTTATTGGCAATGTGAATGTCCGCCGAGTGATCGATCAAGTACTTGACTATGTCCAGTCTTCCGTCGAAACAAGCAGCTCTCACTGGAGTCGAGTTTGTTTTTGACGGGTGATTTACGTTTGCTCCCGCTTGGAACCAGTGTTTTCACCACGTTTAAATGTCCCACGCCTGTGTGTTTATTTACTTTGAATTTTTTTTTTTTTTTTTTTCATTGGATATAAAATGTAAAAAAAAAAAAAATAAAAAACAGCGCATTTACCAGCAGCACACCAAAGGGCGCTTGCACCCTCGATAATGTATCCGTCGAATTTTACTCTTCCCTCTTGCTCGATGTCTATTTTAAATTTTTCCAAGAGCATTTTTATCACTCGGTTGTGGCCGTATCTGGCTGCCACGATAAACGGAGAGCAACATTGGCCATCTTCTTGCAAGAAGCTCTGAAATGAAGGAAACAAAAAAAATTACTTTATCCAATTACAACAATTTATTTTGTGTTCGATGGAAAAGTAAATTTGTTTGTCATTGCAACACGCGTCGAATGCATTAGTTTCGTGTTTGAAAATAAATCCAATAACGAATGTAACAAATCGTCTCGGCAGGGAAAAAAAAAGTCATGTTCTTCGTTGAGTCTTCAAGTTTTTCTTTGTTTGGAAGATCTTAGCGCAAATGATTTTGGCTCGCAGCCAAAACTCTTGGCTTCTTTATTGGAAAACACACGCCCCAACCTTGCTTTGTCTGATATCAGGACACAAAGGATGCTTCGGATGGGCCCGTCCTTTACGTAAATGTGATAATTTTATAAGAGTTCCTGAAGATGCTTGTTAAGTAGCTTTTTAAGTAAGAATAGCAAAAATGAATTTACTAAAATAATTTTTCAACGGTACCCGTAACTGTTACGCTTTTATTTTTTTGTAAATACAAGAAAAACAACAATTTTTTTTGTATGCGGTTTCAAATTTAACGCCATACACACCACACTATTTTTACCAAAAGTTTGGCATTTAATTTATGAAGGGCTTATCATAAACGGTATCAATATTATAGTCAAAGTGTTTTATTTTCATTCTCTTAAGTGTAAAGGTTTGGTTTTGTGTGTTTAACTGGTAAACCCCTAAACTATCAATAGATAAATTATAAATAACAATCGAGCAACTCAATTCGTTTGATCGTCGACTACAAATGAGATTTTAAAAAAATCTCTGTGCTACCACAGTTGACTGGAAAAAAAAAACCATAAGTATTTAAATTGACTTTTCATCAGAATTGAAATCTTAAAAAAAAATTTTAAAAACAAAAAAATCTTGGGGCTCAAAATACAAATGTATACCAAAGCGTCGTATCACTATTATTATTTTTACAGCTATGAAAATATGAGCATGTGTGTAATATGTGCAGGATGGAAAGTGAAATTGGAAAATATGTTTTTGCTTGCTCCGAATACAAGCGCTCGAAAATGTATCCTGCTCCAGAATTCGATTCGGGCTCTATGTGTGTGACACACTGTCCGTGTATAATTAGATGAGCATCGGCTTTTTAACTACCCCCATTCTCTCGAACTCGTTTTTTTTTTTTTTTTTT